GTGGATCTACAGTTGAACTGGAATCCTCCTTGGGTGGAGCTAAGTCAGTATCAGATATAGATTCAGATGGTTGTAAGGAGGTGGCGGTATCTATCGGTGAAAAATGTTTACTATTTGTGGTCATGATTAGATTTGCTTCAGCTTTTTTGACATTATTTTTCTTTTTCTTCTTCTTCAAAGGGGGTTCTGCAATATTTTTGGTTGAGCTTTCTGAATCTCTGGTTGACTCATTCCCCGTCTGCTCCAAAAGTTGGCCGCCTTCATAAGTTTCCATATCAATGACATCAATTGGTGTTGTCGGTATTTCGGGCCTATTTGGCACAGGCATGAGAGACTGCTCCAAATGATTTAGTTTCTCAAGTAGTTCTTTATTTTTCCTTTCATCTTCTTTAATTCTCCTTCCCATGTCTGCTAACTTTTCAGCCATTTTGGTTTCAAAATCCGAGCATTCCTCATCCGTCGTTGAACCACGTGCACGTCTTTCGGTCAGCCGCTTTCCGCCACGTCCGTGTTGGTGATACGTAGCCATTGTTGCGTGATTGCGAATATTAACTTCAGCAGTGATGTTAACGTAAATTGAAAGCTACTATATCGGGCAGAATCATTTAACTTAACTTGCATCTACTCATACTCTTAAGTTAATTCAGAATTAGAAAAACGTACATGATTGCAAGAGTATGAAATAGGTATTACTCACTCAAAAGACACCAATGATAATCCGAAAGTCGCAGTTTTTCAAACCAACATCTGGATCAAGAAAACGCCGGTCGGGATCGCATCCAATGATCTAAGGACTGAAATTTTTCAGAAAGTCATGTCAACTTCATGACATCGCATGACCCCACTACCTAAATAGCGGATTGGCATCGGTAGCTCACGGTAAACGCAAAGAATTATTTTGATTTAAATATGAATAATTTGCAATTACATCCTGGTAGTAGTTACGAATAAATAATTAAATAAATAAAAAATTGAGTTTTTACCACTTCTTACATTTTTGCCGTCTGTTGTATCTCTGCTATAACTTTCTGTACATAGCTTTCATTTTTCTTTGTTTATAGTCTTCGTTAGAGTTTTTTTTTACCATTTTTTTATTTCGATTTATCTCTAACTTTTTATTCCATTGTACCGTACACCGATTTATCCATACTGACGCATACTCGCACGACACCTGAGGTGTAGTCTTACTGACCTTTGGGATTGTGCTTGAGTACGTCCTCCCCCTCTCTTTCCTTCTCATTTCCATCTCAATTAATCATTTAATATTGCAATCTTCGTAAATCGTGAAAGTAGAGTAAAAGTAAGCGTTTGAGTCTGAGTTACATTTCTGGCATTGCGTTTGATGACATATAGCCTTGGATATAATCAAGAAAATATATGATCATTAACAGTGGTTATTTTTACTTTTTTATTACAATTTTTAGCGATCATTTTTCTAATTAGGAAATAGATTGATATGATTATTTGTCAACAGTGGTTGCAAAATAAGAAAATCAGCTTTACTGAATAAATAAAGGATTTTAATAATTTCTTTTGTTTAGGTTCGTTACATAATTCCTAAATTTGCTGAAAGATTACAAATAAAAGAATTATAATCCATTAATTAATTGATGAGTAATTCGTTATATATTTTTAACTAGCATTGTTTTTGTTTGTTATAATTCATGAGCAGAAAAGCATTAATTATCAACTACTAACTAATTATCAAATTCTTTTAGAAAAAGTACATACAAGTATAAAAGAATTTAATAATTAGTTAGCATACTTTTTTCTGTTCACATTACTTTAACGTAAAAGGTGCGTTGTAAAGAAAGATACATATTCAAAAATTTGATTCCTATCATAAGAGACTGAAAAAATATTTATTCATAATAATAACAATAAATAAATAAAACATTTTTATAAGCATAAGCAATTTTGCTATCCAATAAGCTTTCACAATAACAATTTATTATAGTATAATACGCTGAGCAAAAAAAAAAGTGAAAAAAAAAAAGATTCCTGCAAATAGTTTCGTGTTAACTCTCAACGAATTAAAATATTGTGAGTGAAGGAACATAAAAGTTGACGACAACAAATATTCAGCTTAGGAAAATTCAAATAATTTTTAATAAAAATAATGTCAAATTTTTTTTCTTACTTTACATAATTTTAACTAGTGTCAAAATCTATCCTTGCATTAATAACCACGTTAAATGGAGAAGAAAATCTAAGCTTTAAATGATAAATATTTCAATGTCTGATTAAAAAAGGGTACAGGTAATAAAATCGCCATATGTATCTTATCTTGCAGGTGATTATGACATCATAATAAACCTTTTAACACTTTCATATTATGTTTTTTCCTCAGTGCACTTACTTCTCCGATTTGTTTACAGTTATTTATTTATTCTATTTATTTACATTTTTGGAAGAGAAGGTAAGGGTCAGAAACATATTAAATAAGTTCTTAATTTATAATTTAAGTATATTTTTAATAGAGATATGAAATAAGAGTTTATAAGTGGAATTTTTACTAAAAGCTATGCCTCAGTTTATAAAAAAATAAAATAAAATGAGACAAAACATGTTTGTTTTCATAAGTTTTAACTTTTATTTTTGAGTTTTTGAATCTGGACACATTTCCGAAATCCATGTTTACCAAACTAGATACCGCTCAAAATGCATGTTTACGAAAGTAGACACAACTCAAAATGCATGTTTACGAGAGTAGACACAGCTCAAGATGCATGTTTACGAAAGTAGACACAGCTCAAAATGCATGTTTACGAGAGTATACACAGCTCAAAATGCATGTTTACGAAAGTAGACACAGCTCAAAATGCATGTTCACGAGAGTAGACGCAGCTCAAAATGCATGTTCACGAAACTTGACACAGCTCGAAACGCATGCTTACGAGAATGGACAGAGCTCGAAATGCTCGTTACGAAAATATGCAGAGCTCGAAATGCAGGTTTGTGAAAATAGATCAGCTCGAAATGCATGTATACAAAAATGAACACACCTCGAAATGCTTATTAAACTATTGATTTTAAATAAATTTGTAATGTGATATCGTTGTTGTTGTTTTCGTATGCCTGTTAAGGCAGAGGGATGCGATTGCCCTTGTTTTCCAGTGGCGCCATCTATGGCCAAGAATTCGACTTCTGCCACACCCATACGTCTCACCCGTTTATAGGGCGGACCCATTCATACATCCATTCATTCATCCACAGATCGTAATTTTGACCTGAATCAGAGAACGATCAATCTCCAATTCAGTACCTCCAGAGGTATTGATTTTTTATGGGAACATGGAGGACTTTGCGACTAGACAGATTTAACGTGCATCAGTCACCATTTTACTACACGGGGTGTCTCCGGCCGGCGGGGTTCGAACCCACGAACTCTCGGACATGGGCCCAGCGCCCTACCGACCTGCAGGCTATCCCGGCCCATGTGATATCGTTCATTTGCATGAATAACTTGGTAAATGTATTAAATTAATTTGATAAATTTATTAATTTTTTTATGCGACTTCAAAGTAAACAGTAGTTCTTAAATTTGTCATAATTGCTATAAATTCATGATAGAGGTAGCAAATTCTCGTTGCAAGAACTATTTTTCAACTTTAATTAATAGCTTAGAGTTCTGAAAACAAAGACATCGCCTGAAAAGTTATATGTGTAATATACTTAGCCTCCTCGATCCCTAAGTACCGCACCTTTCTGACTTCATTCGCAAAAGGCCAATGATAGGCGAGTTTGGTTTGTATAAGTGCCAATAGAAACAACAACAATTTTTACTTGTATTTTTAATTCTCAACTTTTCAAAATTAGAACTATTTTACTTTTAACTCCTTAATTTTGATTTGAGTGCTTAAAATTTTTCTCGGTCTCTTTAAATATCGTTCCCGTGTATGTAAAGTATCTATAACAACAGATTATTTTCTAGAAATAAAAAACCGTGTGATGTCAAAAACCCTCCTTCGCGCTATACCTAATAAGTTAATTGGTATGGTATGACATTAAAACTACGCCTAATAAAGAGAAGTAAAGACTTAAGAAAATATCAATTTATGCTGTTGATTCATGTTGCAGAAAGTGTTATAAGTTATTCAAAGTGAAAGAATCTTTGTGAGAGTGTATTTTTAAACTTTTTGTGGCTTAAACAATGACTAATGTAATGTATTGTGTTTGTAAATCACTTGAACTTTATAAATGCAGATAAGACATTAGATAAGCAAAATACAAATCTCTTTTTTTTTACTTTCACTTTAGAAAATTCTTTTATTTATATATGAATGTCATACTCTCCAATATTTTTCTGACAGTAAAAAAATTTCTCTTCCTTAAAAAAAATTTAACTTAAAATTTGCTCTTAAAAATGTATTAATTATAATTACGAATTCATACTTTATTAAAGAATAATTTTCATTAAATTTAAGCTCAAATTATTATTTAGAAAATAAATTTCACAGTGCTCACTAAATTGAGACTATTTTTGTTACGATCACTTCCAGGGAAACTCAGGCCAATTAGGGCTCTTCCAAGGAAAAGTCAAAAAGTGGTGACAAATAATTCGAATGTTAGAAATTCCAAAGTAATTTCACTTTAAGAAACTTGAGAGAGCCGCGGTGGCTCAGGGGATAGAGCTCTTGCCCTCCAATGAGATGACCCAGCTCTGAATCCCAGCGATGGCTGGCTGATATGAATTCCGAACCCAGTTCGCTCCGATCACAGTGATGACGTAAAATATCCTTAGTGGTAGACGGATCATGGGTTAGAATCCCATTGCCGTCAGTCTAATCGTGGGGTATTTTCGTGGTTTTTCTTTCCATGGCGGTTAATTCCAATAAAATGACCCCACTAAACGGAATTTCTCCCAATGCTTGATCCGGGAGCTCCCTTGTTTTCTGGATTGGGTTCCAAAATTACAAGGCTACGGAGTTGAACGTTGGTAGTCATAAAAATCAATATTAGGTTTGCTGTTCAAAGTTACATCTAGCATCCTGTTCTCTTATTATTAAAAAGAAGATCTTCTAGAATATCTCCTATTTACTAAAAAGAAGGAAGTAGTCTCGCAAGTGTTAGGCTTGATTTTGTAGAAACAGTAAAGTGTTGTTTACCATAAGTTGTTAACTTAATAAACACTTATTTTTTTTACTTGAAGACAAATCACAGCACTTATTTAAGTAGTACTACGGCCCTTAAAAATGTTAAAAAGTGGCATTAGTAGTGGTATAAGGAAATTAAAACATTCTTCTTACTAGCTTTTACTTTAAAATTAAAAATGAGAATTCTCAAATTTTATCACTAGATGAATTCATTTGGAAATATTAAACGTTGTAGTGAGACAGAATTTATGAAATTTCATCTTTTTTTCTCCTTATCTTTTCAGCCAAAACCTTTTTTAGACCTGGTAAAAACCAGGCATTTTTAGACTTTTGTCTTGCTCTCTCGATGGAAAAGGTTTTGCTTTTATGACTTCCGGAGCTGGTGCCCCCTGATGACGTCAGCTTTGACTGTCATATTTATCCAATTTTTTTCATTGTCTCATTTGTTTCAATTCCTTTTGGATTCACTGCTGCTAAGCGCGTTTTTCCATTGGAAGTATTATTATTTTTAATTGCTATAAAATTTTGATTTCTTTACTTAATATTTGCTCTTCAACGTTTCATCTTTCCTAAAAAAATGGAACCCCTCCTTCAAAAGGATTATTGACACACATTAGTTTAACGTGCAACCATGTGATCTTCGTGCATTTATATGTTTATTTTATTTATATGTTTATTTTATTTGTATGTAATCATTCTCAAAACCATCTCTATAAAAAAGTATTATCCAATTGCTTAATTAAAAAGAATACATTTTGATCTGACTTTCAAATTTAAAATGTAACGAAATATTTATAAAAGTTGTCAATTAAAATGCCCAAAAGTATTTTGGAACTTTTTATTTAAATGCTTTACGTATAGTTGTTGTCAAACAATTTAACATTTACTTAATTTTTGCGAATATGAAGAATTAAAACAGTGATATAATTAAATTGTAATAAATTTAATATAATAAAAAAAAATCATCTTACCTCATATAATAGTAGTTATTATAGTCATGAACAAACCGTATCGGTTTCTGTGCGGAATTAAATTAAATAATTCCTTTTGAAGAGTTTTCGTGGAAGTGATATCTTAAACTGATAAATAACCTTTCCGTTGCAGATAATAAACGAATACAAATTTAACGCGTTGATAAAAAAATATCAATATGCATATCATACACTTTTGCTAGTGTATATGACAGTTATAAATCCGACTGAAATAATGATTTTATTCCCTTCTAAATGAATTGCTCAGTACAACAAACTTATATGGCTGTTTGTACTCTGGAAAGGAGAAAAAAACTGGTAATAAAGTCAGTTAATGTGTAATTAGAATTTTCATTCTAAAATCATGGTAAAATAACCAGCAGCAGTTTGTCCACCCGGTTAACCGTAAAATTTACAGTAAAAAGCATTTTTTACTTTTACGGTTTTGAAACCGTTTACAACTAGTGTGGTTACAAAACCATGAACACAAAATCATACATGTTTTTTTAACCATTTACATCTAGCATGGTTTCAAAACGGTAAAAAAGACATTTAAGTGAGCCTTGTAGAAGCTTTGCACTTCGTTAGGTAATGCAGTTTACAGCTTGAGGGTAATTTTAAGATGAACACTGCATCAAAACATTTAGATCCAACAATGTAGACTTGGTGGTACAATTTATGGAAAATTAATTTTTAAAATGGTCCTTGTAAAGTTAAAACTCTTTTTTTTTAAAGTTATATAGTTTTTGAGTAACTTTCTTGGACAATTTTCAATTTGAATGAAAAACGGTATGAAATCAATTTCAAGATGGTCAGTAAATGAATACGTTTATGTCCAACTAATCTGGCCAAGGTATGGTGAAGCGATTTAAAGGAAAATAATTTTTAAAATGTTCACCGTGAAGTTCATAATTAAAAATAACTTTATTTCTGTTTTTTTTTCTTAATTTATGTAATATGTTTCGCTCAGTAAAGTGCCAAAATTATTTTCTACTTACTCTTTGGCAAGGTTAATAAGTTCGATGTATTTTTTTTTTTTATCCAATCGAACAGCTTACGAAATTTAAGGAATTAATTAACTGAATTAAGAAATTAATTAACTAAAACATTCGCATTGACTGAAACTATACACTGAATGAAACATTCTGACTGAGGCAATTTTGAAAGTCATTACAAAAACTACACATTGACTAAAACATTCCGACAGAGGCAATTTTGGAAGTCATCACAAAAACTACACATTGACTAAAACATTCCGACTGAGGCAATTTTGGAAGTCATCACAAAAACTACACATTGACTAAAACATTCTGACTGAGACAATTTTGAAAGTCATCACAAAAACTACATATTAAGCGAAATATCTCAGAATCCTCCATGCCTTAAATTATTAATTTTTTTAATTTAAACTTAGATAAAAGAGAAGATAACTCGCCGCTGTAAGTACTCTGTTAGCGCTGCATTAGTCAGTCAGTAATTCCCTTTGCAAACTATAAACTGAAAAAAAAAAGCTTCCTTTGTCCGTCTTATGGGGATTGTTTACACCGCCATCATGAATCTCGCACATCACTTGAATTCAAAGATATTTATCGTTTAATATCTATATATATATTTCCCTTACATGGCGACAAAAAAAGCCCCATTACAACTCCCAGAATAGCAACGCTAGAAAATCGACCAATGATTGCCGCTAAAAATGTCACATGCCAAATCAAGATGAGGTGGCTCAGCATATAGCGCTTTTAAAAACGGAAACTGAAAGAACCAGAGAGAGCATTCTCACCAAATGTGATCTCCTCCGAAATTCACCCTATCAGCTGCGGCAATGTCATACTATTAAGCTAGGCAGAAGTGAGTAGTCTTTGTCGATAGATCTCTATTTTAGTACTTTGTCAAAAGCGCTTTTTTTCACGAATTTACATATTACGAATTTATTTGACGATTTTTGATTTATATCACGAATTTATTTGTTTTAATATTGTTATTAGTTATTCATTGAAAAATGATTCTCAGTCGTGCTGTTACGCTTTAAGATTTTATACTATAACACATACGTCAACAACAACAAAAAGCATATTAATTTCTAAGAAAATAAAAACAGTCCAAAATGGAATATTTGAACTAGGGATGAATGAAAATCGTCCGAAATGGAATAGACTAACAATGAATGAAAACAGTCCATAATAGCAATTAAAAAGCAGATTAAATATTACTTCTTCACATAAAAACTTTATTTTTTAATTTGCTTCTTAATAAAGGTTTATCCTCCAAATAGTGAAATTACAAATCTTCGTAATTAACTCAGAAACTTGTAGGAAATTTCGATTGATGAATGGCATAAATATTTCATTTGTCAGCACAAATGTGATTTTCACGTAATTCTATTCATTTATTTTAAAATTAGTTTTAATAAGAATTTAAAATTAGTCTTAATAATTTTGTTGTAAAATTAACTGTATTTTAAATTTTAAAAAAAGTCATTTTTTGATTAAAAGAATTTTTTTTAAACGATATCTTTGGAAAGAGCATTGTAGCTTTCCGGCACAAGCAATAGCATTGGAAATAATATCCATGGTATACCCTTACTTGTTGAGATTCTTAAGTTCATTTTTGATCCAGAGAGAAAAAATAATTCAAAAGAGAAGATGAAAGGCCATTTTTTTACTAATTAAATTTTTATTTAAAATCTTTCAAGACATCATTGCAGTTTTCGACGCAAGTGTTAGCATAATTATGCATTCCAACTTGAGAAATCATAATACATAAATATTTTAAACATGCGCATTAAATATGACTTCAATTATTTTTGAAAAACATTTGCTCAATAAATACTTACAATATCACCTAATACAATTTTTTACAAAAGGAAATGTTTAATTACATTCAATTAGAAAATGAAATTTAGAGCAGTTTTTCAATATCACAGCAGCAGCATTTTTTTAGCAAATATTAGATCGATAATTCATACATCTTCTTCGAATTCCATCAGACAAACATTTTTGAATAACATTTCACAAATTATTTACATCCGTTTACAAAGAGAAAACAAAGAAGCAAATTTTTAGCAAAAATCACAGCAGTGTTCTTGAAAAATATTTGCAAATTCAAATTTTGCAAGCATAATTTATTTTATATTTCAGTTGAAGATATGAGTTAGTATCACGTATATAGAACAGAATCTTTAGCCGTACTGGCAAGGGATATCATTCACCATCATTTCTTTTATTTCAATAAATAGAGGAAGGCCGTCTGATCGAGGAGTCATCAAGAGTTCAATCTGAAATAAATCAATCAATCAATGAAAATCAATTTAATGCGGATTCGCATCAAAGAGCGGCACCACTGCACTTTGAAAACCGTACATAAAATTTAAATGAGCTCGCTTTCTTCTATGATGCTGCAATCTAGTGACAAAGATGAAAATTAAAGTTTTTTATTATTCCTTTAAAGAATGAAATGTACAAAACTCGCTGTTTTGGTATTCACGAGTCATTAAAATTGTGTTTACCTTTTTTAATGGCAAAAGAGAGAAAAGGGAGCCCACTTTATAAAAAAGAAAACTTATAGTATAATAAATCGATATCTTTGATTTAAATGCGCTAAAAACTTTATAGAAATATTAACTATAGAAACTGGTGCCGCCATCTAGTGACGCTTATAAAAAGTAAATGTTTATGATTTACTTTCATAACAAAAAGTACTTTTTATGTTTAGAAAATGCTTACGTTTGAAAATATACATATAAGAGTATTCAGCTCAAATATTACTTACTTATATTTCAAATGAAGAAATTAAGCAGTACGAGTATTCAATTGCTGTGATAAAAATGGGAGAAATCGCAAAAACTGGCGTGACATGGCGCTAGTAGTAGAAGAAGGCGTAATAGAAAAGGCCCAGATGTATAGCAATGCCTCATCGGTTTCTTTTAAAAGGTATTTTGGTTGGAGTTGTTTATCTTCTATATTATGATTTACTATATATTATGATTATGGTTCTGATTCTCATAAATTCAACAACCTGTCCCAGGAACTTTCCCAAAGAAGAATCTTCCATTAAGTGACGCTCGCCAAAGTGCGCCAGAGAAAAAGGGTGGAAAATTAAAGTTTATAATTAACAAAAAGATTTCTTTTTTTGAATGTTTTTGTTAATATCTTTTCATTTTTCAAGAGATACAATAAATTCATCTACTAATTTTCTTCATTCTTTCTGTGAAATGGAAGCCCTTTGACGTGGTGTATGTCATGTTAAACAATATATATNTATATATATATATATATAGTCGTTATGGCCAAACATCAATCATCTGTCATCCTCGAAACCACCTACTTTCTCATTGAAAGGCGCCTGATTGTCCAGAAGGGAAAAGTACCAGATTACATGGAGGCACAGAGTCCAGACGGGAGAAGTCCCGAATATTAATTACTAACTGACTCTTTTATATAGAACAATATAATTTAGCAGTCAGTATTTATCCTACAGCGCTGCGTGTAGGTAGTTCTCACCGTTCATGATACCGCTGTCAAACTTATTTCCTTTTTTCTATTGAAACTGTTAAGTTTCATTACTGATTGTAAAGAAAGTTGATTGTCTGTTAAGTTTCATTATTGTCTTTTTTCCCTCCCTTGCTCCACAAATCACTTTAGATAATGGGGTTCGTGTCCGTGATGCGAAAATAGTGAGTTATAAATTTTGAACTTTTAAAAATCTGTGATGGGGATATGGACCAAATTTGTGAGGCTGAATAACTTTTGAAATCCCGTGAATGGGATACTGACCATATTTGTGGAGCTAAAAAGATTGAAATTCTCCTCTCGTGTAGGAGTAGTAGATTAATAGATTATTCAAGCGAATGTTGTTTCAAAGATAACTGTATTAAATTCCATCTTGAATTTGCCGAGAAGGGCAGCAGTGATTCTTGAATTTGCCAAAGAGGACAGCAGTGATCCCTGAATTTGCCGAAGAGGTTAGCAGTGATCCCTGAATTTGCCGAGAAGGGCAGCAGTGATCCTTGAATTTGCCGAGAAGGGCAGCAGTGATCCTTGAATTTGCCAAAGAGGACAGCAGTGATCCCTGAATTTGCCGAA